ATTTTTTTTTTTTTTTTAAATACTTTTTTGAAGATGATAGTTATTACATAAACCAAAAAGACAGTTTGTTTATATATATATATATATATATATATATATATATATATATAATGACAATATAGGATTTATTTTTCTTTCAGGTAATATTAATGTGTGTAACATTTTTTCTCCTTTAATAAACTGATATTTTTTCTTAAAACAGCAGGAAACAAATAACCTAATTTTTTTTTTCTCCGTTGTTGGGCATTTTCTCATAAAAATGACTAAAGTAGAAATCCTTGCTTATATAACTTTGTATAGATCCTGTTGTAAACAAAACAAATTTCAGTGCATTTTTTTCCAGCATAAAGGGTTGCAAATGTTTGCTCTAAAAAGATTTTGATGAGAATTTTATTAATTTGTACATATTTTCTTCAATACCTTAAAATGCTTTAAGGGGCATTTTAATGTCACATTACATCTATATCATTAGTATAACTGTGTAGATGTTAGTCCTTTGGTTGCACTGTTATTGTTTCAATAAGGTCAAATTGGCAGCTGAACTCAAAAATGACTAACAATCTGTTGTTAACTGAAGCAAGAAATGATTTGTTAATTTTAATGCCTCTAAAACAAAACTGTTCTCTTTTAATCATCTGAGAGAATCTCATGGCTGAGTGACCTTTGCAACTTCTCAAACTAACATTTTCTGTGAAAATAAAGTGGAAAGATTATATTGAATCACTTGTTAGGTCTGCTGCAAGGAAAGTTGTTTTACAGTGTTGTGCTAGACAACTGTTCTTGCCAAAATCTATCTTACATATTTATAAGTCTACCATCCATTCATGCATTGAATATTGCTGGCATATCTGCTATGTATTTAGATTCTTGATTTAAAAAAAAAAAAACAAAGAATCTGCAATGTTATTGGTTCTGACCTGGTATCTCAGCTTCAGTCACTTTTCCACCACTGTAACGTAGCTTCTTTGTGCCTTTTCTATAAATATTTTCATGGTAATTGTTCTGATGAACTTTCCTCTTTGGTACCTAGACTTTATTAATTTAAGCCTAATATCAATTGTTATCTTCTGCCTTCTCAATTCCTGTTCTTTCATTGTTCTCTCTCCTTAATGTTTTTTCTCCTGTTCCCTCACACTCAGTAACCCCTAATAGCTTTGACTTACTTGGGGTGAAATGATTAAAAAATACCTAGATTGAATATTGGATAAACTATTAAATTTAGCACGCTGTAGATAACTATTTTCGCCAAGCAAAATGTTAGTGCAAATTGAATTTGAATTTCTTGGTTGTGTAGTCATATCCTTCTATGGCAACACCTAAAACAATGTTGACAGAAATTGAGAGCCAGGCTACTGTAATTTCAAATATATAAAACATCATATTTTCAGGGGATTGCATATACAGTAAAAGGGGAAATAATATTTATAAATGAGGCAGTGCTAAATGTTAAGATTCAAACAAAAGTCTTAAGTAGCCAAAAAAAAAATGACAGGTAACCTTATAAATAAATGATTTATAAGCAGGCCATTACTAGCATTAATTATATAAAGTGTTAAAGTTTTAGCTGAAATGTCAATAAGGTTTATTATTACACATTTGCATAAAAGACAAGATTTAAATAGTCATTCACATTCAAAATAATCTATAAAAATACTTTGTGTTTGATTAGAATAAGCTCATAAAGATTCAGAACTTCTCCATCTTGTCTACAAACTCATAAAAATGTAACCAAATTTTTTTCTTTCTACAACTATTCTTTGCTATTATAAAGTAGAATCTTGCTCAATAAGAAAGTAAATGTTTGTTTTTTATTGATATGCATTAATATCAATAAGTTGAAGAAAGTTATTAATAAGTTGTTAATATATTTAGTATAGCATTGGTTTTTAAACCATTCAGAAATGAAACCTACCAATATGAAGTCTTTCTTTTCAGCTAAAGTACCATCATGCATTACCATAATTGAAGAATATGGTAAAATCAATTAAACTATCCATATCTTTAAGCATTCATGAATGAAAAGGCTTGAAGTTACTCTGAATTTTTTAAATTAATGTTAATGAAATTTCTGTTATAAGAGGGCTTTGGCACAAAGTTTCCAATATTTTTGTGACTTTTTTTATTTTTATTTTTATTTTTTTTTTTTTTTTTTTTTTTTTTTTAAGCATAAATGCTGTGAGCATTTTATGCACACCCAATAAATGTGCAAATTACATTTTTATGTCTCAAAAATCATGGAATCCACATTCGTTTCTAATTGTTATATATATATATATATATATATATATATATATATATATATATATATTTCATTTAAAGTAAAATGCCAAGGCTAGGAATAGGTCAAATTCACAAGACTGTCTTTTGCAGGTTTGAAAGAAGACTTTTATTTATTTATATGTACACACACTAGAGCTACAAGGGACAAGGAATTGTAAAGTCATGATAAACAACTTCTTGAAGGAACATAACACAAATGATATACACACATACAATGAAATTTCACTTATGGAAATTTCTTCTTTTTCTGATTCATATTTTAAAACATAATCATATTGTTAGTCCAAGAAAGGTGTTAGTATACCTGATACTTAACAACTTATATAGTTGATTTTTCACTATAAGTAACTCAACAAACTGCAGATAAAACTTAAACTATGTTTATCAAAGCAAGTAAAACTGGGTTTTATAGCATTAAAAATAGTGCAAAAATACAGATAGAAAGCAGCAGGTTTGTTTTGCATTAAGGAGGGTTTTTCAGTTAACATTTTTCCTTGGAGTTTAAGAAAATAATGCTCCCTAATTGAACATGTGTATTTTTGAGTAAAAGCTCTCCACACACTCATGCACTTTGTGACCTGCTTTACTTATTTATGGGAGCTTTTTCAACCTGCCAACTTGATATTGCTATATATATATATATATATATATATATATATATATATATATAATGTCTTCTGCAGAGAAATGACCATTTGCATTTATTACTTTTCACATATTCAATGGAAATGTTAATATATAAACATGAGTTTCTAGTAGCTATATTATTTTTCCATGGTGACATTAAGATATAGGTAAAAACTTTTTTATATGATCTTCTGGCTGTTTTGTAAAACTTTAATACCAAGTGACATTTTTTTTTCTTTACCACAGTTTGTTTAGTTTGAGATTCTGTTACATTCTTTTTTACATGTAAAATATATCACTGTAGGTCATATAAACATGGAACAACAGTAATGAAATTGAAAGACCAGCTCAATTCATGTTGCAAACTTAATGGCTGTGATAATAATTCTTTATTGACACAGTTTAGGTTTGACCTTCCAATAAAAGCAATTTTGAGAGCCAGGGAACAAGGTAAATTATTCTTGGGTGAGGATCATGGTTTTTTCCTCCTCAGCTCCTCCATTTATATTAAGTTTAACATTGTTTCTATAATATTACTGTTGGATAGAAACACACACATACTAGTGATTTTACAAGCTGTCAAAATTGTCTATATTAGATGGATTCAATTTTTGTATGTTTATTATGATAGCATCACAAAAATTATACTTTATAGTGTAATTTTAATATAATACTGTTAAAATGCTCTAACATGGAGAAGAAAGCAATTTCCAGGTCACTGGTTTCAGAGTAACTTTTAATTCAGTATTTATTTTTTTTAAAATTGTCCAATAAAAGATAACTCCAGATTTGTTAACTGTTAATTAATTATTTCCCCGAAGAAAATAAAAAGAATAATCAATGAAAAATCTTTTTTCTTAATACCTATTGCAACCTGCCAATGATGATGATATTATTATAATTATTATTATTTAGCATTTACAAAAAATTATAATATAAATTATGTAACTAGGAAATAACTTGATATTAAATGGTGGTCACCAGAGATAACACATAAAAAATATTTCTAGATAAAAGCATATTTCCTGATTAACCAGTATTCAGTTAACCTTTAGTGAACTGATTTAGCTAAATATTTATTAAACATGATTTATTGATATGGATACTGACTTGTCTGTTTCTCATAAAATTGTCTCTGTTTTTGTAAAACGTGTAATAACATACCATTGATCATACTCATAATGTAATAGTCATGAGAGATTAGCCATTTTGTTTCAAGTATGACAATGCATGATGGTTGATTACAAAAATACAAGTTTTTGCTTTCACTACCATTGGTCTGCCTTTACTTTATAAAATAGTAATAAATTGCACAACAGAAATAACAATTTAATACCTTGAAGTAATCTTTTTAAAACTGATCAAAAGTAGCAAAATAAATGTTATTTGTATCCCAAATGAAAAAAAACATAATTCTGATCAAAGTTAAATCTGTTTTTGAAATAGAAAAAAAAAAAGCCATCTCGTTTGTATCATAATGGAATTGGTGTTAGTAAATTAAGTCAACCAAATCAAATTTGCTAATATTGATAAATTCTGAATTGTATTTTGTTTTTAAAATTGATGACTAAAGTTTAATTTGTAATATTTACTCAAATGCTATATTAAATACTCTTTGAAATTTTTGTGCAATATTAAAGCTTAAAATGTCCTTGCACTAATTCAGCAGGTAAAACAAATTCAAAACTGCCTTGACATAAAATGTTAAGCACAAAAACATAGTATACTTTTGGCTGGCTAGATGTCAAAATAGTTGAGAGAAGCTTTAGAAATTTTTAAGGGTGCTTTTAGTTATACTCTTTAGAAATGTTAAACTACTTTGTATCGATGTACTCTGTTTTTTGTTGTTTTTTTTTTGGTTTTTTTTTTTGTTTTGTTTTTTTTTTTTTTGTACAGGTTGAAAGTTCAATTAAATTCAAATGCTATACTTAGAACAATTTGATGTATCATGAACAATTTTGAATAGCTAGTCACGACTTATTTAACCTGGAGTTAAATTGTCTAGCCAACACTAGACATAAAATGCTTTTCTTTTTCTTTTTTGTCTTTTTTATTTTATTTCCTTATTTAGATATATTTTTAATCTTTTCCAGAAAACACTAAGTGGGCACAAGAACATCATCAAATATGTAGAATCCAGTATTACTGTCACCCCAAACAAAGTCTATGAGGTCTTAATATTATTACAGTATTGTCGTGGTAAGTCCTATTTTTAGTTTCTCTTATTTATAACTTAGCTTTTTGCAGTTCAATCAACATAACTGTAAATTTGCACTTAAAAAGAAGCATATTTTTGTCATTTCACTCTTGTGCCTTCTTTACTCTTATTTTTCTACCAGCCACATTTCTGGATATTCTTTTTCTTTTCCTAGTTTCCCCAATACAATTTTTCTTTGTCGTCTTCCATTCTTTCTGTCCACACCTATTCAATCCAGTGAATACAAGAAAATCTCTTTATATACAGTACAGGTTTTGGTTCATTCTTTGATTGCTGCTTGTGATGAAATAATACAATAATTACTTTATATCCTGTCCTCAGCACTTTAAAAAGGAATGTTAAATTCATCATGAATTGGGAGCAGTCATGAAGTAAAAGTATTTTCTCTGTTTTCTACTTTTGTCTGTAGTTGACAGTTGCTTGAAGATGTGTACATTCAAAATTAACAGCTGAAATAAAGAAATAGCTTTCTATAGATAGTAACATTTTGTGATCTTTGATTGTAGTCCACATGTGAAATAAATCTGCTTTGATTTTTCCTGAGTTTGTCAAAAATTGAATTTTGGTAGATATAATATTGTTTATGTAAAACTTAATGTTGGCAGGATTTATTAAATACTTAAACTGCATTTGAATATAGTGTGTGTGTGAGTGAGTGAGAGAAAGAGAAAAGTGGGGCAGGGTTTCAGTCTTTCTTACTACTGCCCACTAACTTTACTGCTACTCCACCACTTAGGTGCTTAACTTTAGTCATTTTTTGGAGTTAAGCAACATCAAACAGTCAGTACCTATATGAGTGACTGCTTGGGAATACCAGGTGCTGTAAGCTTAGATGTGCATGGGGTGTAATGGATAATGGCTCAGAAATGGAAATCAATTTCAATCAGGTTCTTTATATTCACTTATGTGCAAATACCTTTGGAAAAAGGTATGAATTCATTTTTTTTTTACCCCCAACTATGGGTTAATTAGTAATACTTGTATCAGTAAATCATTATCTCAAAAAAAAACTCTTATTTAAAACTATTTTATGTCTTTAAATAATCTGTAAAAGATTATTTATTTAAAGATTTATTTATATATAATCTGTAAAAGATTATTTATAAAACACAAATCAATTAATGATCTTCTCTAACTAACAAACTTAAATAATTTTTGGTGATAGGAGTGAAGAGTAATTTCATTAAACATGGAATTTTGCATATTTTTTTAACTAAAATTTGTAGTTAGGAATTTGTTAATGCAAGGATTAATGACAAAATCGGGCAATTTTATGGATAATTTTAAAATTATAACATTGTTGAGTGCTTGGATAATTTTTATATGAAAAGATTTGGAGTTTACAGTTCTATGTATGGTTGAATGTAAACATTGAAATGCACAGCTTAAAAGTAACTCTTTTTTTTATTTGAGATTGATAGGAAGTGTATATTCAATTTGCATAAATCAAAAAATAAGTACTTGAAGTACATGGCCAGAAACCAGATAGGCTCTTTGATTACATGTACACTTTACAACCCTGCTGTAGTGTTTTGAAAAATTATGTTCTAAACCTGAAAAAAAAATTACTGGTTCCACTATAGAATTACGATATCAAAAACTAAAATGCTGTAATGGATTTTTCTTGTGGTTTTTACTTTACCTTTTTGTTGTTTTTTTTTTTACCCACCCTTCAGGGGGGCATTGAGGTTTGAGCTGAGAAAGATCAAAACCAAAATATTGGTTCTTGTAAAGAATGTATTTCAGTGTGATTGAGAATGTTGATACACAATCATAACAAATTTTAGGACGACTTCAGATATGCACAAATTTTCAAGGGTTCTTTGTCGTAAAAAATCTCGCTATGGTTAATAGTATTTTACAAGTTAAGATTAAGAAATTTCAATGTTTTGTAGTAATTAAGTTCTTCAGTATAATCTAAAAAAAAAAAATCAAACAACAGAGTATTGTGACAAACACTGAAATAAACCAATGAATAATATTTGTTGAAAAGAAATTTCTCAGTTTGATTGAAATATGAAAGCATTTTTATTTATTGGGAGGGGGGACAATGTTCAAACACTGATTTACTTTTTCTTTTCTTTTTTTTTTCTTTTAATATACTAATGTTTAATATACAAACCTGAAGAACCACTAAAAGTAAAAGGTTATTGTTAAAATAGTTATGATGAATGAGGTTTGTGGTATGAATGAAGGTGGAGATAGGAAGTGACTATGAGGATAAGGAGGAAAGGTAATGATTGACCTGTGACTTGAAGATGATTGATTGAAAGATGATTGATTGACTCCTTAGAGGTAGCATGGCATCTCATAACTGTAAATGTCTGAAATGGTGGAAGTAAAGAATTGAGTTCATTTGCCGTAAAAATAGTGATAAAGTAAAAATAGGTTTGTGATGTTATGTCTGTGGGGAAAGAGGCTGCAGAGTGGAGACTAAGTCTCCCTCCACAAAACCATGTAAACAATTTTGAACTCTATCAACATTGGTAAGTAAGGATTGAGCAGCTCCAGCCCAGATATAACAGCAAAACTCTATTTAATCTAATCTGAAACTTGTAAAGATAAAGCATAGCAGAAAAAATTAGATACTTTCTGGAACAATAGAATGAACTAATCAGCATCTTTAGCAATGAATTGTATATATGAGTTCCACCTGAGATCCAATAGATGAAGCATTATTGAGAGTACAATTGTTCATCATGACCGGATAAAACTCAGATAAATTTAAATAATTTAATAATCTCTATCTTGTTCACAAATAAGTATTTATTCATTAATAAATTTCATTAGATTATTAGTGGATAGCACTACTGGAATTATGTACAGAATTATGACTGAAAAATAATTCTTCTCTTGAAATGCTTTCTCTTCCTTTTGCTATGCAAGAAAACAAAAAAAAAATATTCAGATGTAAAGGGCTAGTTAAAGAAAAACCCTTACATTATGAAACAAACCCACTTGACATCTTTTATTTACATAGAATTAAGCATTTAATTTCAACCAACTGGAATGCTTTGAAATAATTATTTAAAATTAGTATATATTACTAATAGATGCTTATTTTATTTATTCAACATTTTTAATTCAGTGTATACCAAAGAAACACTTATTGTGAGTGTTTATGGCTTAATACAATGCAGAAGTGACTTTATGGAATGATTATATACCATCTTATGCTTATGATCCTATTCTTTGCCATATAAGAATGGGCTTACCATAATTTCCAGGCCACAAACTCAGACAATTCAATTTTTATTATTAATTTTAGTTTTCTTGTCTAATAAAGTGCTTTCATGACCCAACACCCCTTAAACTTCAGGTTTGACAGAAAAATTAAAACTAGTAGCTTATAGGCCTAATCAGAATGTATGGTAAGCCTTATATGGTAGACTTTTTAGATTAGCAATTCTTATTTTCCTGTGTATTCTCCAATAGGATTGGTTTGATTAAATTACATGGTATTAGGCAGATGATTATTAAAGACAAATCAGTTTGATGAAATTCTAATAAATGTAGTTTTTCAGTTAGTTCAAAATTTGAATTATTATAGCATATGTTTGTTCTGAGAATGTCAATATTTGAAATATTTACAAAATCAACCATGCCTTTGTTAATCAAATATTGATTTATCTAAAAAGTTTCTTCTTTTTTTCTTTTTTTTTTTTTTTTTTTCTTTTTTTTTTTTTACTGAATTGTTTTTTTTGAAAATGTTTTAATGGACAAGTTCAGGGTTTTTTTTTTTTTTTTTTTTTTTTTTTTTTTAGACATTTAAGGATTGAATACAGAAACTATAAGTATTTGAAAGCAGTTATCATAGTTACACTCCAAAATGATCTGGTAGTCTTATAGATTTTATATTTGTGATTCAGAAATCTATTGGCCACGAGAATATGTTCTAATAATGTTATGCATTTTCAGAAGTTGGGTTATTTTATTTATAGTCTGCCATTCCAGTGTGTACAGGCATAAATATTAGACAGTATTTGGTTAAGCACAGATCATGTAACCTAATGAAGCAATTAATGGCACTAATAATCTGGTAACAATATTGTTCACTACAAAATGTATGAATATTTTTCTTTACACTTTAATATTATTACACTTCTCATTGCTGACTGTCTTTCAGTAAAATATGCAATCCCATGGCTTTACGATTCTCTTTTCTGATTTCTACCAACTGAAAACAACAAGCCTAAATTCTCAAGGAATTAAACTGTATAACAGAATTAAAGTAAATATTAGCTAAGCTGTGATGAACCCATCTGTGATTGCTTCCCCTCTGGCAATGTGCTATTTCTGGTGAAGAGACACTGTCCATAATTTTTTTCAATTTTCTGTCAACTTGGTTTTATCACTTTACTTACCTGCTGTTTTTCATCATTCTATTAACTCACTGCTGTGATATTTCTCACTGGACCACCTAGTGCCAAACATAAGTGTATGCTTTATGAAAGACTACTTACTTTGAACACAGGAAAGTGAAGATCCTCAATAAATTATTTACTCTATTCTACATTAGCAAATCCTTATTACAACATACATTGAGCAGCCTTTCATTAAATTGTTGCATTGAAAAGAAAATAATTATTTCTGTTTGTAGAATCAATACAAAGAAAATACATAAAATAGCTGTAAAACTCAGATTCCATCCAATTAAAATGTTCCATATTATCCATGACACATACATTACTTTTTCTCTCTATGTGTCTATCTATGCTCTATGGTTTAAATTCACATTAAAATATGGGGTAACACTGGAACTATATTAAACATTCAGCTCTCTTCCGACAGAATTGTTTGGCCAAGGCTGACTAGGCTTACTCAATAATGTTTAAATATCAATTTCCCTATCATAGTAGACATTGAGAAATGATTACTTACTGCATTTTTACAGTCCCTTAATTTTTACCTCACCTATTAACCTTAAACAACTCTTCATCTGATCTCACTTTGTATTGCTTATAACATATAAATCAATTGC